TTGGCGCTGGAACGGAAGGTGACTTATTAACTTTAGGACTATTATTTGGCAAAACATCAGGTAGGTCTTGGGTGTCATTTACAGTCTGTCCTTCACTACTCCTATCCTCACCAGCATGGTCTTCCATGCTAAACGTTTCACCCGGGAACCCCCCAACTGTCTCCCCTTCCGTTAACGAGTTACTTTCGCCTTCGGGGGCAGGTACGGTAACATCAGACAAGCACGATCTACGACGAATTTGATCAACGTGTCTTTTAAGTAATTGACCATCATCCCCTGCCAAGGAATACCTTCGTGGGCTGTCAGCAGTTTCCACGATACCCTTTACCCATTTATCTCGTCCTCTGTAACCGCGCGCCCATACCTTGTCGCCTTCTCGAAAGTTTCGTGATAATCCGCCGGCGTATTCTACTTGGCGTCTTTGAGTTTCCCAAACCTTATCCTCGACCATCCGGTCAGAGCGCAACAAATCCAACCTCGAACGCAGAGACCTCTTTTGCAACCGCATAGCCGGTGTCTCACCGGTCGTACTATGGACAGTGTTACGATAAGCTAGAAGAAACGTTTGTAACGCTGCATCTATATCTACATTGTCCCTATACGCTTTTTTAATCGCGCGCTTACACAACTTAACAGCATTTTCGGCTGCACCGTTTGAGGCCGGGTGATATATCGGTGAGAACGTTTGCTTTATACCATTATTGGATAAGAAATTTTTAAATTCTAAACTTGTGAAGGGCGGGCCTTGATCTGAAACCAATTCTTCTGGTAAACCAAACCTTGCAAAAGTGGATCTTAATATTTTAATTACACTTGACGCAGTAGTGCGAGTCATTTCAAAAAGTTCTATCCATTTTGAAGTCGAATCTACCAAAATAAAGAAAATTAACCCCTTGTATGGGCCCAAAAAGTCAATATGCAGCCTACTCCAGGGACGGGTGAGGTACGGCCACGGCTGTATTTGAGACCGCAGCGGTGCGTCGGCCTCCGCCGCACACGTCTCACACTGCTTACACATAATTTCTACATCGTCATCTATCTTAGGCCACCATACGTAACTTCGAGCTAAAGATTTAGTTTTTACTATACCCATATGGCTGATGTGCAATTGTTTTAAAACGTGATCCCGTAATGATGCCGGTATTACCATACGATAACCCCACATTACACATCCATATTCGGTATACAATTCATTGCGCCTAACAAAATAGGGTTTTATGTGATCATCGGGGCAAGACAAAGGCCATCCCGATTGAATATACCCTAAAATCCTACTTAGAACTACGTCACCGGCCGTTGCCTGTTTGATCTCTTTACTCGTTACCGGTAAGAAATTTTCTACAAAATTAATGTATGTGTTCTCATCCCTATTTTTATTTTCCTTACTGTTGCTATGAGGTAGCCTTGATAATGCATCCGCGCAATTCCCCTTAGACGACACAAATTCTATCTCGTAACTGTACCCAGACAATAAGACTGCCCAACGCTGTAATCTCGATGCGGCCATTATCGGTATGCCTACTTTATTTCCTAAAATATATGTTAATGGCTTATGATCCGTTCTCAGTATAAATTTTCGACCATACAAGAATTGATGAAATTTGCGGACGCCGTAAACAATAGAAAGTGCTTCTCGATCAATTTGTGAGTAAGCGCGTTCTGCAACAGTTAGCGCTCGAGAAGCATATGCCACCGGCCGCTCGCCGCTCGTGGTCGTGTGCGATATAACAGCGCCAATACCTACGCTACTCGCGTCTGTTGTCAATATTAGTGGCAATTCAGGCGAATAGTGCATTAATATCTTACTACTTGCTAACAACTCTTTAACCTCGCGAAATGCACGTTGACACTCTTTGCCCCATTGAAACTTAACCCCTGCCTTGAGCAGGTTATATAAAGGTGCCAAAATTGTGCTAATATTTTTTACAAACTTTCCATAGTACATAGCCATACCGATAAATGCCCTTAATTCGGAAACGTTGGTGGGTGCCGGCGTCTCCACAATAGCTTTGATTTTCTCAGGACATGTGTGAACTCCATCCTTACTTATTGTGTGACCCAAATAGTTTATTGACTTTTCGAAAAACACACACTTTTCCTTCTTTACTCTTAACCCGTATTTACGTAAACGATCAAATACTTTACATAAATTAGTTATGTGGTCTCTATTGTTATATCCACTAATAATAATATCATCAAGGAATACGCCTACAAGGGGTATATCTGCAAATATTTGTTCTAAATGTCTTTGAAATATACCCGGGCTTGACGATAATCCATAAACTAGTCTATTATACATAAATAAACCCTTATGTGTATTAATTACTGTATATTTCTTTGTGTCATCCAATTCAAATTGCGCGTATGCCTGTGACAGGTCTATTTTACTAAAACGTTCCCCCCCCTTCAAACGTAATAATAATTCCTCGACTCTCGGCAACGGATAACGGTCAATTTCTACGACTTTATTTAAGGTTAACTTATAATCAGCACAAATTCTGATGTTACCGTCCTTCTTCACGACCGGCACGATCGGGGTCGCCCAGTCAGAACGCTCCACGGGTGATAGAATGCCGTCGCGCACCAGCTGTTCGAGCGCGCGCTCGACGGGCTCGCGCAACGCGTAGGCCATCGGCCGCGCGCGCATGAACACCGGCCGCGCCCCCTTGCGGACGTGGATGCTCACTTTACCACCAGTAAATCGACCCAAACCATCCGCGAACACCTCAGAGTATCTGGAACTGAATGCAGATACATCAAACACCTCCCCTTTAAACATAGATAAATTATTACAATTGTAAACAACGGGGGGTAATTCCATTTTTAGTTCTGCCATCCACTGACGGCCTAACAGAATAGTTTTACCATTTTCGACAACAAACAGTTCTAATAATTTAGTTACATTTTTATATTTCACTACGGTTAACAGCTTTCCTAACGGTTTAATTAATTCACCCGTGTAATATTTAAACATTAATTTACATGGTGTAAGGGTTAAATTTTTAAACAGTCTGTTATAACATGCCGAGCTTATACATGACACAGCACTACCTGTATCACATTCCATTTTTAAATAATGACCATTCACGTTCAACGTTATATAGATAGGTGTACATTGTGTTGGCGATAATAAGCGTATATCTATTACCTCGTCACTGGACCCGCTATTGTCGTCATCAATTTCGGTATGTTGCAGGTCAACATAGTGTGGTCCCGTTAACCTTGGGCAAACTCGCCGCAGATGACCTTGCTGATTGCACACTCTGCACACATAACGCCCGTATTTGCAAGTGGATGCCTCGTGCCGCGCTCCACACACCCGGCATTCTTCTGGAGTCGGCGCGACAGCTGGCCGATATGCCTCACGCCTGCCACGCCCACCCTGGTTTCTGCCTCGCTCACTCGCCGCAGGCCTTGCACTGCGCCTCGGGTTCGGCGTCAGCACCTGACAATCGACATCGGTCGCGCTGGTGTTGGCGGTCGGCTGTATGTATCTGTTACGTTCCACCACCGCTGCTGCGTCTTTCTCGGCCGCCTCCAAGCTGACCGCCAGCCTGTACGCCTTGGCAAAATCCAACTGACTTTCCGCGAACAATCGTTGCCGTATTATTTCACTGCTTATCCCGCAAACCATCTGATCTCTTAGGCTCTCTTCTAACCACGTTCTGAACCCACACGTCTTGGACATCTTTTTCAAGACTGCTGTATACTCTGATATGCTTTCGCCTTCCCTTTGTTTCCGGTGCCTAAACTTATAACGCTCTGCTAATTCACTAGGCTTAGGTTGTAAATGCCGCTCCATAATATCCGTTATCTCTGTAAAAGTTTTACATTTTGGTTTATCGGGGGTGCACAAATTAACTAAAAGTTCGTAACTTTCCGATCCCATAACGGTGATTAGTGTAGGTACTTGAAGGTCTGTCGCAATTTTATTAACTAGAAAGTACTGTTCTAATCGTTCCACATATAACCGCCAGTCGTCACAGTTAATTTTGAACTCGGAAATTTTCCCGATCGACATTTTACCCGATTTATTATTTATTTAACTGCTATCGTATACGCGTAATATTCTTTATTTTATTTATTTTTTTGCCTCGTCGCCACTGTTATGTCTACGCACTTCTTTACCGGATTAAAGGGCCCGAAATTATACCACACGACTTTGCTGTACAACGTATATTGGCCGAATGGTTTGCTACATTGCTACCCACTAGTTACAATATATTACAAAACCCTATACCAACCCGTCTGGCCAGCGTGGTGTAGTAGGCCAAAACCTCCTTTCTAAGGAGAGGCCTATGTCTAGCAGTGGACTATTAAAGGCTGATGATGATGATGTGATCTAAATGGAGGTAAATATTAGGTTTAGGTTTATCATCATCAGTATTTTGCCGTCCACTGCTGAACGAGGGCCTCCTTATCCAGGCTTATGCCTAGATCTTATTCTACAAATAGGTTTAACATTATACTATCTCTGATGTCATGACTGTTATTGATAAGTATATTGAAATAAGCTCCTATTGGACATCCTTTATATTTAGTTTTATTATTTTTTATAACTCGCTATTTGTTCCTGCGTATATGCTTTTGATGTTAAACCTGACATCTTACCTGACTATTCCATGATGACTTACCATGATCTTCTAACCGTTGGCAGACGTATCTCACAATAGCCACAAAACCTAAGGAAGACTTACCATTTAATTTTCGTACTGACATTCGTGTCTTAAGAAAACAACTACCAAGTCAAAATGAAAAAAAATGCAGGATCGTGGAAAGAATGAGCTAACATCATACACGTAATAATTGACATACTAACACAAAGTAAATGATAAGACTAGTAGTCCCTCTTATCGAAGAATATAACACATATTTACTTAGTCATATTTACTTACCGTGTTTATACTGATTTAATTATGTAATATGACAGTTATCAGAACCGAACTATTGCTACAGTATAGAATTTAGACAGCCAGTAGGCAGAAGTGATCTTAATTACAATGAATATTGGCCGGTTTCGTCAAGTACATACAGCCTTTGCATGTAAGGATTCTTTAATTTTATTATTATTCTATTAATTTAATTGAATATACATATAAATTACATTTTTAAATACATTTATGATTCATATAAAAAAAATCCATCGGTAAGATAGAGACTAAGATACCTGTGGTTATAACTCCAGAGACAGAAACCTCCTCACAATACTTACTATGTCGAGAAGTACTGCTTTCCACATCAGGCCCTTAATCCAGCTGCCTAACGCGGGCCCCTGTAGATGTGTTATTATTATTAAATATTAAGACATGTGTCTTAAAATGTTTGATTAAACTGTTATACTCGTAAATGTTATGGCCAAATCGAAGCACATCAGCCGGATTGGTGAGAAACTGATAAGAATTCCTTCTGGAACTCGTGCAGTTTAGTCTCTTGCCAAGGTTATCCAGGGGAATTTCTGTAGCCATACCTTTCCACCCCTGCAGATGGAAGACAATTCGTTGGGCTATGATGCCTAGGAGAAAGCCGATCTCCTAGGCAAACTCTTTGCATCCAACTCGACTTTGGATGACGGGGGAAACGTACCGTCGCACAAATATCAGTGCGTAAAGCACTCTTTTCCCTCGACATCTATAAGTCGTGTGGGCTCGACGGAATCTATCCTATCGTTTTGAAGCCGTATGCTCCGGAGTTGGCACCGATTTTAACCCGCCTTTTTCGACTCTCCTACTCCCGAGGCATCGTCCCGAACTCCTGGAAGGTAGCATTTGTGCACCCGATCCCTAAAAAAGGTGACCCCTCTGACCCGTCCAACTCTGTAGTTGGACAAGTCAGAGGTTAATCTTAGAGAACAAAGGAGTTATGGCTATTGGCACAGGCCTATAGTTATAACTCATTTGTTCTCTAAGATTATGGAATCCCTAATCAACTGTCTGCTCCTCCGGTACTTAGGTACTTAGGTACTTACTCTCGGGTACTTAGACGATCACAAGCTGCTCAATGACCGACAATATGGTTTTCGCCGGGGTCGCTCAGCTGGTGATCTTCTCGTCTTCTTAACACATCGGTGGGCACAGGTGATCGAGACTAAGGGAGAGGCTTGTACGGTTGGTTTGGACATAGTTTAGTTGGATCGGGTCTGGCATAACGCGCTTCTCTTGAAGCTCCCTTCTTATGGGCTTTCCGAGAAATTGTGTACTTGGGTCACCAGTTTCTTTGTGAACAGTAGCAAAAGTGCTGGTGTCCCGCAAGGCTGTGTGCTATCACCCATACTGTTTCTTCTGCATATCAATAACATGTTGTAAACTAGTAGCATCCATTGCTATGCAGATGATAGTACGGGAGATGCTACACCGGCCGCCCCAATACTTCTCGGGAACACGTCGTCGAACGTTTCCATCCGACGATTCGTCTGCTCGTATGCCCCATCTAACATGAAAAAAAAAACAAAAGTGTGTGCATTTGTACAAGTTTACGCGTTTCACCCAATTAAAGGATGATTTTTGCGATAATTACTATCATATCCTAAAGCCCATTAAAGCAGGAGTTGCACAGGGTGGCGTACTGGGATCTATACTCTACATACTGTTCACTGACTTGCCGACATCTGGATTCCTATTTTCTGGAACCTTGAGCTGAAAATACCGCCATACTAGCTGCACATAGTAAAAATAGCCTCTCATATACCATAAAAAGGTCTAAACGACATAGCTAACTGCCTCAAAAAGTCGGAAATAAAAGCATTCGAAACAAAATCAGTCAATGTAACGTTTAATTTAATAAAAGGATCTTGTCCTCTGGTCACATTAAACAACGTTGAAGTTCCACAGTTTACACGTTATCAGCAGTGACTGCTGTTGGCGAGCGTCCACTTCTGTCATCATAACTACTGTCTAAACAACAAGGATGTGAACACAGGTGATATACTGAGAGCGCCATTGTTAGCACCAACCAACATACTGCTGAATTTCCCATGAGGGAGACAAATTGTAGTTTATCAAGAGGCCAAAAAAACAAAAAAAAAGTATCCCATGTCCTTTCCCGGGACTAAAACTATCTCTATACTAAATACCAAGGTAACGGACAAACAGCCACACTTACGCATTTATAATATTGATATGGATGTACGCGGGCTGTGCCAAAGTGAAAAACAGTTGAAATCACAAGAAACGTTTATATAGCATCTCAAATGTTCTCCTCCAACCCAATGCACTTACAGAGCCAGGTGAACATGCATTCGAACCATGTAAAATTGTATCTTTCGGGAGCTCGAAAAAATAACAAGCAGTGTTTTGCCCACAAAGCATTTTTCTGTGGGAATTAAAAAATACAAATATGGGTAGTAAATAAAAAGAGATTGTATTTATTTTGTAGCCAACCAATTTCTGAACAATCTAGGCAATACCTGCAATACCTATTAACCGCTTTGATTCCCGAAGTAACAAATTTATAAGATGAAATATTTTGAAGTACGCAAAGAAATCAACTTTTAATGTCGTATTGAAATGAAAATTTATATATATACGAGTATGTAGTTTGGATGACAAAACTATAATTTGAATTATTGGATCTGATCCACCTCTAGGTTGCATCATCCAAATAGCTTATGAAATTCTTTATTAGTAGTTTTAAGTTGACTTTAGCATTTGTGCCGATTCATGACCCTACGGTGGGACTCACTTACCTTCACCACCCGTCTGGTCATTTACCGTTTACATAAAAAATACTTCAGTTTATAATATAGTACATTAATTCGTACATTATAATTATATGGAAGGAAGACGTCGCTGGCTTGTAGTGAATATGGACGCACATCAACGAAGCTCTCATTAAACAGTTCATTCCAAGTCGCCAAAATTTAAATCTCCAGATGTTTCCTTATTCTATCGATGTAGTATTTAGCAGATAAAAGTCATATTAGAGGAATATTTAGTAGTATGTTTCTTAAATCCACTTAATTTGGATGTAAATAGTGGCTGTGCCTTTGTCAAAGTATGCAAATAAATATTATGTTTATCTAATTTGTTCGGTTTTATTCGTGTAAGTGACCTGTATTAGGTCAATGACATAATGTCACTGCCTCAGAATAATTAAACTTTTAAGGCTTTACACAGGTCTTATCTCGGAGACTTTGCATAAGCATTACTGAATTTTGTTACAGTCAAATCACTTATGTTATGAATAACTTTAAATTTGACTAATTATTTTTTTATTTTGTTTTAGGTGGCTTTGGCTCTTTCGTGATGGGGATGGCCAATACATGGCCTTCGTATACCTCAGAGTTACTCTTATCAAACTCAACACCTTTATCTGCTCCTATGACTAAAGCAGAAGAGGCTTTATTAGGTAGCTTGCCTTCACTAGGGGCCATATTTGGATCTTCAATAATTGGTATTATGATGGCACGTTTGGGAAGGCGAAATGGTGGTGTTGTTAGTTATTTACCGGCTCTGGTATGTAATACTATTTATTAATTTATTTACTGCGGTAATTTATTAAATTATGTTAGAGGGGGCAGACGAGCGTATCGGTCACCCGATGGAAAGCGACCCTCGCCGCCCATGAACGTCTGCAACTCAGGAGTCACAAACGCGTTGCCGGCCTTTTAGGAAGGAGTACGAGTAGTTAGGAAAACTAACAGTGACTTAAATGATAAAGGGCAGTTTGATATACAACATCAAGCCGACAGGTTTTCCCGAATTGCAACATTGCACACTAACAGAGTTTTTGGAACACAAACTAAGTAGACTGTGTAGACTAAGGTCTAAAATAAAATAGTATTTTATATTTAAAAAAGTAGTACTTAAAAGATGAGCTCTCTGAAAATACCTAATATGGCAGGAAAAAAAAACTATTACCGGATTTGAATCGGTATTCTTAAGGTATTGATTGTAACGATTTCCCTGGATCAAAAGGTTTTTTTTATGACCAATTATTAGTTTCACAAAAGTTCAAGTAAATTTGTTTGGCGTGAGTCAGTGTTCGAAAACTAATTCGGAAAAACCTATAATTGGCTTGACTTTGTACATGAAACTGAAATTTTTGTAGCTATTAGTTTTTCTAACTAAAAAATTGAATAATTGTAATTGATCCTACCATTCATTCACATATCTAGCTTTAATTTATTTCTATGTTTGGTCTTTTTAATAGGCATTCCTTTTTAAAATGTACAGTAAAGATAGTGAAATAATTAAAAGAATAATAATAAGATTAAACTGAATAATAATAATATAATGAATAAATAGAATATCTATTGTCTCGTCTGTTTATTTTATGTATGTGTTATGATGATGGAAATGTCACTAAGGATTTAATTTTAATCTTGGCAATTTGTAATTTTATTTATTAGTATGGTAATAATGTCATTTATGAATGTATGTGTATTAAGATGCGATGTATTAATATGGGTTGTGATGATACCTGAAATAAAAGTATTTATTTTTATTTTCAGTTAGCATGGGCAATAACAAGTATAGCATCTTCAATCAAATTAGTTTTGGCGGCAAGGTTCCTGGCTGGAATAACGGGAGGTGCTGCTTTAGTATTAGGTCCTGTCTTTATATCAGAAGTAGCAGATGATTCTGTTAGAGGATTTTTAGCATCAGGTAAGACCATTTAAATCAATTCTATTTTGTTAGGTAGAGAAAAATATTTTATTTGTTTACTTTACATCATATTGCAGTGAAATTTGTTTCAAAAGCTTGACTTTGAACATTTACAACTACACAGTTCAAACAATCGATGGTGATTACCATGCTTCAAAGCGATCTTTTTTTTTCCAGCACCCATATTTCTCTACTGTTTTGGGACGTTCTTTTCATATTTGATTGGTTGGTACATGGTCTACAGGACAATCATCTGGACAAACTTGATAGTATGCGTCTCCGTCACAATCCTTCTTGGATTAGTGACAGAAAGTCCAATATACTTATTAAGGCAAAAACGCGAGGAGGTGAGAAATTTTCTACTAACATTAGACTTGTTTCTTTGAATATAATAGGTAAAGTAACATGTAAAATAAGTAACGTGTAATATATTGTTTTCTAACCAAGACAAATTTTGAAAAGCTTTGAAAATGATGACCAAAAACATTAAAATTCTCTGAAATCCTATTTAAACGGCTGGATAGTTATTCTTGAATCATAGCCACACCCTGATACTAAATCAAAGAATAAACAAAAACAAGAAAACAAATCTGGTTAAAAGAAGATGCAGCAACAATTATTTCGCAATAGTTACTCTAAACCAGTTAGAGCAAGTCGAAAATTTAGTATTCGCAAATCAAGTTTTCTTTTTTGAGTCGGTTCGTTTTGAGAAGAGTTTTAGTAAGAAGTTCAATTTCATTACTTTTTTTTATAACAGGATGCAAAATTGTCAATCGCGAAATATCGAGGGTTACCTGTGTCGTCTATGTTGGTGACGGACGAGCTCACTAAATTAAAGCAACAAATTACATCATCAGTAGAAATGGTGCCAATTACAGGTAGGACCTTTAATATATGAAAAAAGTTTAGGTTACAGGTAATCTTGATTTGCTTGAGCTATTGAGGTAATAGACTCCATGACATAAGTGGAACCAAACTGCAAATCTGCAAACTGTGGGTATTTAACCATAGGAGAACCATGCTTCGTCACAACAATTAATATAGCTTTTATAGTACTAGCTCTGCTTAGTTTGGAACTAGATGGCGTTGTGTGTCAGATTCAGAAAGAAAATATTATTATAAATCGATTGAAGTGGCGTGCAATAGGAGAGGCCTATGTCCAGTAGTGCAATAGACTGATGATTATGATGATAATGATGATTATAAATGGGCAAGCTCGATCGGAGTGATAGCATGGCCTCATATAAAACCGGAATCATTCCATAGCTTATCACCGAGTGTCTGAGGAGCCGGAGCCCAAACCAATTCTAGGTCCCTTCAGGACTCAAAGGGCGGCAACTCACTTGTGACTCTTGATGTTCAGATGTCCATGAGTAGCGGGAGTTACCTACTATCAGGTGACCCATATGCTCGTTTGAACCCTTTTCCCATAAAATAAAAACATGCCTCTGCCTTACTGGGGATAAGTTTATGTGTAAGATTTAGGGCATAGTGTTGATAATTTATCGATAAAAATAAAACACGATAAAATGACAATTAAAGCTTCTCAGAAAGGAAGGTTTTTAAATGTTATCAAATTCAGAATGTAATAAAAACTTAACAAACAGAATCTAAGAACATATAAAAATAAATTTTACAAAAAATTTATGTTTTACGCTAGATCCTGATACGAAAACCGATGAATCTGAGAATGAAAAACTGAACCTTGAGGAGGCCATACCACAGAAACCAGAATCGAAATCAACTATCAAATTATTATGTAAGTTGGTTATTTTAATGTTTTTTTTTTATATAGTAAGTTAATTGTAGGTTGTATATCTTCTTAAGGATTCATCAGGATTTCTTGGATTCTTCAGTCGTGAACCCATAAGTGTCAATATTTTATGACTTAATTTTACCGCTTAAATTATTGGAAAATGGTAACTTAAACTATCAGTTTAGTAACTATGTCACAGTTTCAACTTCTGGCAAAGTAGAAGTTGAAAACAACATTTTATGTGACGCAGCGCATCTTGTGAATCTGAACCTTCAAAGAACCTTAAAGGACCCATTTTCAATTTATACAAAAATCATCAAAATCGATGTAGCAGTTTATTAGGAGTCAGGTAATATAGAAGAATTACCTACATACTCGTACAAATAGTTATAAACAATTACTTTCTATATTAATACATTTGATATACTATACACAGTCGTAAATGGTATCTCACTACATGACACATGAAGACGAACGACGAAGAAAACATGCAGTTTTTTATTCACTGTTCCAATATCACAAATTAATGATCAATCTTTTTTTTTAAAGAAAATATCGTTACCATAAAAATGAGTAAATAAAAATGAATTCCCAAATGTGTCGCTAAGCGCAAAACTCGATCATACAAATCACAAAGTAAATTAAAACCCCTGGTCCCTAGCTGTCAAACATTTGACGTCAATCAAAACAAAACAAAAGGGCGCCAGGATTATCTTTTTATGCTTTTAAGTTGAAAGCGCGTCAGGATTATCTTTGGTGTGCTTGTAAATTGATGAGGGTATATATTCTATGCCTGCCCAAATAAAAGTTCGAAGAAAAGTGATCGCTCTGAAATACGTTTAGTTTATTATTTATTTCTATTGGACTGCGACAGGTCAATACTTTTGATTTGACAAAGTCTTTGAAGGCGGATAGTTCATAATAAAATCAGCAAGTAATTCACTCTTTTATACAATTATTAAAAACTGGGTACACGATGAGTATAATTAGAATAAAATAGAATAGAATAATCTTTATTGTACACCAATTCAGGATATCATACACACAATAGGATTCCAAGTTAATGACCATGTACAAATGGCGGCCTTATCGCTAAAAAGCAATATCTTACAGACAACCTTTGGATGGACAAATAGACTGTAAATAGGTAATTTCATGCGCAGATTGCGTGAGAAGAAAGTGTTAAGGAAACAAAAAAAATATATTTATACAGCACAACAACATTCCTTTGACAGTTATAAAACAAAGTAGTGTTAATTATATACAGCAATTACTGCAAATTAAATATTGTTTTATTAGAATAAAAACTTTGACTATGTCACGTATAACATATTGTAATACTCCATGTTGTGGTCCAACTCGCTCAGCTTGGAAAGAAGAATCTTATTCAAGAAAGTGATCTATACTAGGAGATTTACAATTAAATTTCAACAGCATAACAGTACTAATTTACAATATTTTACAATTATCTATTAGTTGACTTTTATCTTCTTGAGAGCTTCTGTCGTTAAGTTTCTGGATTGATGTCCAAACTTCAAGTCTTCATTTTGTTCTCAATAGTTATAGAAACTAATATTAATGAAATCCAAAACACCATTCGCCAGAGAGATATTGATGTGTTACAATATTTGAGTTCTGCAGTTTCGTTGGTAAGGCTTATGATGTCAGTACTCTGGTCTAAAAAGAAATAAACTTAATTTATATTCCAGTCCTGGAACCGGCTTCAAGACGTGCATTTACCATTGTGGCGCTCGTCATATCAATCCAGGTAACTTTAAATTTTTAACTATTATGTAGTTTAGAGTTGTCTTTCTGCAATAGCTCATAAAAATAATCTTTATAGCAATTATCATTCTAGGTTTATGATTTTATAATATTCAATGCATTTTTTGGACAACTGGTAATAGAGTGCAAATTTCTATGAAATTCATCATATGTAGGTAACAAACTCTTGGCAAATCACTTTTCTGTTTCTGCTACCTAATTTATTGGCAACATGGTCTAAATTGTGCTTAAGTGTGCTCTACGCTAGATATATTAATAATTAAAAAACCAAAATGATGGAGTTTAGGTGTCATATTTCATCATCATCAACAGCCTTTCAGCCATCAACAAGTCCACTGCTGGACAAAGGCCTCTCCTCAGAAAGGAGGATTAATTTATATGTTTAAATATAATTCGGAATGAAAAATACTCAACAAGATATAACATGTAATCAAGTTTGTGAATTTAAGTACAAAATTTTCACACATTCGGGTTTCCTGTTCTTTCCAATAATCATCTTGTTAATTTTAGTGTTTCTCTTCGTCATCATTATTAGTTAAATTTTACAATTTAAATCTTAATGTAACCTAATCAATTAATTTGTCTTCTCTAAAAATAATTATCAGATAGTATGTTCTTCTTATCCTTGTCAAAATATTTAATGATGGAAATTATCAGGCTTTAATGCTTAAATAAATATTTTTTCACGACATTTTAAAGACTATTTATTCTTACTATCAGAATAAATAAAACAGTTAGTATTGTATCTTACAAGACAATGGTTTTTAAAACATTAAAATGAAAAGATTTGCTTGGCCATCTGCTTATAAATATTATATTATGATATTTATTCTTATAAATATTCCGTGTCGTGACGGAGGTCCGTGTGGGGACGGATTAAGAATACAGAGTGTCACCACCCCTATTCAACCCGTAGGTGTCGTAAGAGCCGACTAAGGGAAAAACTACGTAGAACAACAGCACTGCAGAGAGAAGGAAAACTTGACACAAACCCTGTAATAACCCGTCTGGCCAGCGTGATATAGTAGGCCAAAACCTAATTTCTAAGGAGAGGCTTATGTCCAGCAGTGGTGATGGTGGTATTACAGGCTGATGGTGTGATGGTGTGGATACTGTTTTACTCAGAGGCCCAGGTGCGAGTTTATTTGACATCAACTCGATCGTCACGGTGACAGCGTTCGGCGCTACGATTGGCCCGCACTGAATTCTCCACCAATCGCAACGCTAAACGCGCTCGCCGCCGAGAGCGAGTATGAGATATGAATTAAACTCGCACTTGGCGCTCAAATCATATATCTTACTATTGCCCACGGCTTCGCTCACTTGGTTATTTCTTAGCACGTGTTTTTAATGTTGTTTAAGGCGAACTTCCATACCACTGTTCATACCTTATTTTATGTCTCCTCATGGAGGAAATTTCCAAAAATCCTTTCTTTTATTACTAACTTTTAAACTTTCGCGTTCCATGATAATTAATATTATTTAACGGGAATTAACGCGATCTCTTATTTAGGGTATTACATACCTCTGGTTTGCCTGACGTTTCGACCAGGTTGCACCGGCCGTGGTCACAGGCTGACTGGCTCATCGGCGCACGCCCTCCGTCGTCGAATCCGTGAAGTAGAAGGCTCTTCATCTACCCGCACATTTTCGATATTATTTTTGTGTCGCCATGTACCGTCACATACCACACTAACAGTGTCCCTATTCTGTAAGCAAACCGATGAGTCCCTATTCTGGTGTTTAACCGATTGCGCAGAAAAGCGAGGTGGTATGTTTTTTAACACTGGATTCCACGCTGTAGATAATTTAAAACCATCTTCCCGATTGAAAGTTTTATGCTTTTTAATCTCAATCGCTTCACGTACAACTCTTGAGTAAAAGTGACGTTCGGTGGAGAGGACTTGCGTTCGGTGAAATTCAATCCAGTGGTTGATGCCTGCATCGAGTGCATGTTCTGCAATCGCTGATTTGCTCGTCTGTCGGTTCTTCACAGCAGCGATATGCTCTTTGACCCTTTCTGCAATAGTCCGCTTAGTTTGGCCTATGTATGAGCTTCCGCAGCTGCAGTCTATTTTATAAACACCCGGAGTTTGTAGTGGCAATGTATCCTTCGGTGTGCCGACGATGTTGTGAACCTTTATGCCTGGTGTGTATACTGTCGGAATGGAATATTTCTTTAGTACAGACCCGATCTTGTCCGTAACTCCCTTGACATAACTCATATAGGCCGGTTGCCTGTTCACTTCTGGATACTTGCGTCTTATTTTCGGTTGCTTCCGTCCTCCTTTCACTTGATATCCGTTACCTTTGAGTACCTCCTGAACATGTTTCAGCTCCTGTTCTAAATGTTCAGGGTCACAGAGATCGTAAGCTCTGTTTTTGAGTGAAGTCATAACAGATTGCAAGTGCCGGGGGTGATGATGAGACGTGGCGTGTAGGTATCTGTCCGTATGAGTAGGTTTACGGTACACACAGTGTGACAAGGACCCATCCGATCTCACGGCTACTTTAACATCTAAGAAGGACAACGACCTGTCTGTCTCCATTTCATATGTAAACCTCATTTTGGGGTGAATAGAGTTCAGATGTTGTATATATTGATCCACTTCTTGTTTGTTTCCTTTGACGATACTGAAGATGTCATCCACGTATCGCTTCCATAGCTTAACGGTATTCGGGCCGAGATTTAAAGCCTTCTCTTCAAAATGTTCCATCCAGATGTTGGCCAGTACTGGGGCTACAGGACTTCCCATCGCGACACCATCAATCTGGAGGTAATGTTGACCTTGGAAAAGGAAATAGTTGCCTTCTAAACAGTGTTCAAGTAGATCCATATAGTTTAAGGGCAGCTCGTTGTCTCTCAGTAGGTCTTTTACGACGTTTAGGCACTCCTTTATTGGAACATTGGTGAAAAGCGACTCCACTTCAAAGCTCACCATGACGTCATCCGGTTCCAACGTCAGATCTTTTATGATTTGTAACGGATATCAAGTGAAAGGAGGACGGAAGCAACCGAAAATAAGACGCAAGTATCCAGAAGTGAACAGGCAACCGGCCTATATGAGTTATGTCAAGGGAGTTACGGACAAGATCGGGTCTGTACTAAAGAAATATTCCATTCCGACAGTATACACACCAGGCATAAAGGTTCACAACATCGTCGGCACACCGAAGGATACATTGCCACTACAAACTCCGGGTGTTTATAAAATAGACTGCAGCTGCGGAAGCTCATACATAGGCCAAACTAAGCGGACTATTGCAGAAAGGGTCAAAGAGCATATCGCTGCTGTGAAGAACCGACAGACGAGCAAATCAGCGATTGCAGAACATGCACTCGATGCAGGCATCAACCACTGGATTGAATTTCACCGAACGCAAGTCCTCTCCACCGAACGTCACTTTTACTCAAGAGTTGTACGTGAAGCGATTGAGATTAAAAAGCATAAAACTTTCAATCGGGAAGATGGTTTTAAATTATCTACAGCGTGGAATCCAGTGTTAAAAAACATACCACCTCGCTTTTCTGCGCAATCGGTTAAACACCAGAATAGGGACTCATCGGTTTGCTTACAGAATAGGGACACTGTTAGTGTGGTATGTGACGGTACATGGCGACACAAAAATAATATCGAAAATGTGCGGGTAGATGAAGAGCCTTCTACTTCACGGATTCGACGACGGAGGGCGTGCGCCGATGAGCCAGTCAGCCTGTGACCACGGCCGGTGCAACCTGGTCGAAACGTCAGGCAAACCAGAGGTATGTAATACCCTAAATAAGAGACCTTTCTTTTATTGTTGACTGATCTGTTATTGTTGACTGAAGTAACCGGGGTCTAACGGATTGACAAAACAGAGATTGTTGCTATTGTATGTGTTGATCTACGACTTAAGAGTCTACATAAAAGACGATTTCAAATAGTTTTATTTTTTTTATGATCTAAAGATATTTTGAGGTTGAGTTTAATCTGAGAGGGGTTGGGTTGGGCTCCGGTTACCGGTTTAACCCCGTTAAGAACGATTATATTCCCAAGGACTATAAGGGTCAGACAGACGGCCGGGCATAAGATTGAAATTCAAAACCATTTGGCAAGGAAACGAAAAATTGCGGGAAGAAGAATAGAAGACGAAAACTCATTGCACCGACCTCAAATATATTTTTTAAAAGGATGGTGATGAATGTAACACATTTTCATCGATAAAGTGTTTTCAAATTTATGTGCAATAAATATTTTTCTTCAGGTCTTCATGGGTATTGTACCTGTACAAGTATTTGCAAAGATGGTATTTCTCCAGACCGACCCCAGTATGGCTGATCTGTATACTATCGTTTTCGCAATAGTAATGCTTGCTGGATCGGCAGTAACTGCTGTTGTGAGTGACAAGGCTGGCAGAAGGGTGGGTAGTATTTTAAATATAATTTTAATTTAAGTTTATTTAAGACTTGGCCATAAGAATGTTACTGTTATAATTATACTGCATGATTGGTGTAGTGGTTTAAGCGGTCACCTCACCGTTTCATACTGTGCTGAGTGTTGTGGGTTCGATCCCCACGTGGGACAACACTTTGTGTGGGCTACAAATTGGAGTCCAGGTTTTATATTTGCTTAAAGTTTTATTACATGGACTTGAGGCATATATTTTTTTCAAATTTAAGGCTATTTACTACACATCATTAGGCAAAGTAAATGTCACAAAACTGAAAATTAATCTGTATAAAAACAATTGTTTGTTTAGAAACTAACATTAATTTGGGTTTTTTTTTTATGTTTATTATTCATAAAAAAACTGCCTGATATGAAAAAAGATGTGCGATTTCATTGCTCTCAAGTTGATATAACATACTCCCTGTCATACATACCCGACGGACGTTGTCCTGTACACTTCTTAAATCCAGAAACTTCAACATTTTGGACCGAATTGTGAGTCTTAATTATTGTCGAATTCACTTGAACAAACACCAAAATTTTCGTTAGCTGTTTAAGAGGAGTTCAGTCACATACACGCACAGAAAAATCACATTTATAAAAATATAAATATATTGCCTTTAAAGTTAACTAGCTATAAGCGAAGCAAACTATAATTTGTGAGTGACATAACGGCCCTAAAAACCAACGCTAACCCATTCTCGCATGATACTGACTGAAGTTACTAGAAGCTGAACTTTCCCACCCTTTCACCCCAGTTTCAGTTATCACTTGTATACACTTGTCATCAAGTTACCCATCTATTCTTTGCCAAAAAACATTATTTTTTTACTTTGACTGCATTTGTTTTTTTCAGCTGTTAATAATCTCTTCATCTGTATTAGTGTCCGCGACTATGGGAGTGCTTGGTTACTTAGTACAGTTCAAAGCAGGACCACCATTCCTTACCGTCATGGTGATCTTCATTTACTGCTTCTCCTTCATGCTGGGAGCTGGTAGCATCCCATATGTGCTACTAGCCGAGGTGTTTATTCCTGAGGTGAGTATTAATATAGAATTTTTCATTCAAACATGATAAAAACGTTCATACGAGGCATGCCTTTTAAGTTTTAAGAATAAAACACAACTAGAACCTTATTGTACTTTTTATTGTTTTTCAAAGTATTCGCCACGTAGCTTAATACACTTTTCCATTCGCTCAAACCAGTTATTATAACATTTATTCCACTCTAAAGTGAGGGTGTTCAAATCTTCGAGAATTAGTTGTCTCACAGCAATATATCTTCAGTGAAGGTGGATTTTGGACGTCTTTCGTGAGATTTGTCACTAACACTAGCATGTCCTCGCTGGAATTGTAAATACCAGCGCTCGACAGTCCGCAGACATGGGGCTTCATCACTGAACACAGATGTTAGCTCTTCAAAACACTAAAGCCGTGTCAGGCCTTTTCTAAAGTTGTAGAAAATTATTCCACGAACATTTTCCTTAGAAAGATTCATTTTCGCACGTAACCTGACAGATTCCAGTCGACACTGTGACTAAACAATAACATTAATCCTAATACTTTCAACTATTTTGAGATTAAACACATTCGAATATAGAACAGTTCCAAATTCAAATTTGCCGGGAAATATTGAAACGACAGAACTTAAAAGGCATGCCTAGTATTATAACAACTTAAAATCAGATTCATTTAAATTGTGACTGTGTTTATTGGGATTATATAAACACTATGAACAGATAATTTTAGCGTTTTGTATAAATACTTTATAAATACATCTTTGTATTAAAATTAATTATTTTCCGTGTCGTGACGGATTAAGAATACGGATGTTATCACCTCTAATCATCACGTGGGTGTCGTAAAACCCGACTAAGGTAGCAAGAAAACAGCACTGCAAAGATAAGAATCACTTGAAACCAACCCTATCATAACCCGTCTGGTCAGCGTGGTATTATAGGCCAAAACCTTCTTCCTAAGAAAAGGGCCTATGTCTAGCAGTGGACTATTAAAGGCTGTTGATGATAATGACAATGAGACACTGTAATCAAATAATTCTAGCGTTTTGTATTAAATCTAGTATAAACAATTGTATTGTTATAAATACTTTATAAATACGTATTTTTAATTAATTACTTAGTGCAGCGATGGTGTTGGCGAATATTACTTGTTTTTTTTAGCACACTATTCGATACTTTAATCATTCCATAACCATGCTTCGGCACGTATGGGCCAACACACGGCACGTATGGGCCAACGCACGGCACGTATGAGCCAATGCACGGCACGTATGGACCAAACCACTGCCTCACAAAAACCCGGTGTTAGGCAAAATGTTTGTTGCTTTTTACTTTGTGAGCGAAGTTACCGAAGGGCTTACCAAACTAAAGTCAGGTTTAATAAGGGACCTAATGTAAGTTTATTTCACTTCTACTCGATCGTCACGGTGAACGCGTTCTGCGTTGTGATTGGTGAAGAGTTTAAATCGGGCCAATCACAACGGCGAACGCGGTCGGCGGACTTTAACGCACTTGTGGCTTGTTGATGTTTATTGGTAGTCTTGTCATCAGGTGACCCATCAGTTTTCTTGCATCCTATTCCATAAAAAAATACATATGTGGTTTATGGCCCATACAGTTTGTTCTTTTAATCATTGTTGCTCTTAGTACCTTGAAACTTCTTAAAATATTTTAGTATATTTTAGTTACCTTGGTTGATTTAAACAATTAACCTCAGGAAAATTACCAAAAAAACTAGTAGCTTAGAGAGTTACATTTATTTTATTTAAAAGATACGTACAGTTATTTGGGAACGTTGCTTTTTTATACGTTCAACGTTCAATGATGATTTTAAATAATTTTATAACATAAAGATATTTGGAGTCTGAAACTCATCTGCTACTAATTTATTTAATTAACGAATTCTCTACTCATTAAGAATTCATAAATCGAATAAAGAGACACTAATTGTGGCATCCATATTTTTTTCAAAAACTACACTCGAAATCTGCTCTCTGTATCTCTATATTTACTATGTAATATCTTAAATAAATAAAACCAGAGACAAGTTGACTAAACTAAATATAAATGTTTATCACTGTGTATCTGATTTATACGCCTACATGCGTCATAAAATTCCTAAACATCGTCACTAACCGTTATCTTTCTTTAATAGCTTGAAACATTTTGATAAAGTAACTATTAGCGAAATTAATGATTACCTAAAAACTTCAGGTCGCAAAACGACCTCCGTCCTTCATAAGTGCAGGCCTGAGGGTGACAGGTGAGGCCATCTGTCACTCTAGCAGAAGCATGCCGGGGTGGGTGGCGGCGCAACGCACTACGGAGCGCGCACGCCTTTCGAGGGTAGGAAGGGAACATCCGGGTCCCCACACAGAGAGGGGTCATCTATAAGCCATAAGATGGCCTGACCGGGCCATTTTACGGCTTATATATAAAATCGGGATAGGGGTTTCCTTTCTTAGGTATACCTGCTCCTACTCCGCATTAGAAATATATCCTGTGTCGTGGGAGACTTTACAAACATACATGAAACTGGCACAAAGAACACCCAGACTCGGAACAACAATTTGTGAATCACACAGTGTCGTCCCATGTGGGGATCGGACTTACAATACTCAGCGTAGTAGAGAGCGCGCTCTCTACTACGCTGAGTATTGTAAGTCCGATCCGATCGATCCGATCGCGGCGTGGCGACCGCTTAAACCACTACGCCATACTTGCAGTCTAATTATATAATTATTATTACTAAAGCATCTATGCGATTAGTACAGAGTGAGTCGAAGAAACAATAATGGGATCAACTCGGACGTTTAGTTTCGCCACTAATAAAACAAATAATTTTAATGACATCACACACACACACACACACAGGCAGGAACGATACTTGGCAATTCACTACGATCCTAACATACAGTGTTTATGAAAATAATCTTTTTTCAATTTCATCAGACGTTTAACACACGATCACTGGTGTCAGACGCATTTTACTTACAATACGATATAATCACATTACACTGAACGTTAGATGTTTAATACTTTACTACGAAAATACTTTTTAATCCATTTGTGAAATCGAGAATACATCGGAACTGAATTCCGAACGAATTTTTATTACGAAAATTGACATTCCGAACAGTATAATGTCCTTTGAAATTTACACGCAGTTACTCATCCAATTGTAGGAAAGAGGCTTATACATTTATTTAGAAATTCGTTAATCTTTTCAACTTACCAACATGACCTGACTCTAACAATACTGTACTATAACTAAACGATGATATAACTAGTGTTATTATTTACAGGTTCAAAATCTAGCTTCGATAATGAGCATCGAATTAATGTGGTTGCTCAGCTTTATCGTAGTAGCGCTCTTTCCGTACATGAATGATTTGTTCGGTATTTACGGTACTTTCTACTTCTTCGGTGTTATGGGATTCGGTAACTCTGTTGTTTCATACTTTTTAGTGCCAGAAACAAAGGGATTATCTAAAATTGAAATTCAGGATAAATTGATATCGAGAAAAATCTAAGTAATGATTAGTTGATTCCAAAACGAACTAGTCTAGAGATATATTAGTCACTTATTGAATATCAATGTTCAACTCAAGAAACAGTATTTGAGTTTATCTTTTAAAAAGATTATTCTCGTAATATAATTGTTCTCAAAGAAATTCTAATAGGTATTTCTTTGACTTAATTATAATTTTTGTTTTGTTGTTTATATACCTAATGCTTTTTTGATAACTTGGTGCTAATATTTAAATGTTAAGGAAATTATCAATGTTTGCGTTTACTTGTCACTGATAAGTTCTGTATAGTTTTATAAATCTTTAGTAAATAATTATTTGTTGTTTCATTTCAAAAACTGCACATTGTTTTTTAAAGTAGGTAGTATTTGAATGTAAGCTCTTTCAATGAGCACTGTATTAATAATAATATTTTCGGTCATCTGCCTGTCATACACAACGCCATCTAGTTTTAAACTAAGCAGAACTTGTACTATGAAAGTTAGATTGATTAATAGAATGCGTACAATTTTTTTTTGTAAATACTTGTATGTATTTGTATGTATTTAACAAGAAAAGCATCAAAACTCCAAAACAAAAAAAAACATACAAACATTTGGTCCGACCCGGGAATCGAACCCAAGACCTCGGCACAGCAGTCGTTTACGCTACCACTGCACCAGCACCAATTGTACTTATTGTATGTTGATCTTGCATTTCCTTGCAGTCATTGATTATTGTATTTTAGGAAAGTACTTAAAAATGATATATATTACCGATCTTATTCTGCTTCTTGATATAAAACAGAACATTGTAGAAAATTAACTCCTCTAAAAAATTCATTACTTTAAAATTGAGTAAAATCCAAATTACATAATCATTCAAACTTTCATTCTTTTGGGTGTTTCGTGACTTAACCAAGTGATATATTTCACTTTTAATTTTCTATTCACCCGGTTGTTTTGCCCAGTTGGCTTGCCCCATATTAGATGAGAGTCAACAGTTAATAGGTATGAGAAATATGAGTGTTTAATACATCTCTACTTACCTACTTACCGAGTTACAATCGTGGGTACGTACCCACTGCAACAATGATAAAAATATTATTTACTTCACACTTGTTACACACAGCAGTCTGTTATCGAACTAGAAAGAACCTGTACTAATGGTAACTAGACTGCTGATAAACATAAATATATATATATTTCTAAATACATACATTTATTTTAGATAAATTACACCCAGACACAGAACAAATGATCGCGCTCATCACACAATCATTGGTCCTGGGTGAGAATCGAACCCATGACCGCTGGCTAGGGTCGCCTACCGCTAGATCAATAGGCGAATGTATAAATGAAAAACAAAACAGAATACGAATAAATGCATTTTGGAATTAAAACCAAAACTTTGAAAAAATAAAAGGTTCAAAAAGATTTACAGAAATTTTAATGTAATGTAATTAACACAACAAAATCCGTATTAATGTTGCTTTTAGAGTTAAAACAGCTTCCACTATAAAGTTACTAAAGTCGTAAACATACTCTGTAAACTCATATAAATAAAATTAACATAGTGAATACAAGTGAAATGGTTCCGAACAAAGACCTCACAAAGATTTATTTCGGACCCTCTCAGCACATGTACAGGGCATACATTGGCAAAACCAGTAATAAAAATGTCACTAACAATAAAAAAATCTATATCATTTTGATTTAGGTGCTAACAGAACCTACATCAAAATGATAAAGAATTTAGAAGTACACCGGGTGAAAAACAACCTTACTTTTTTTATTAATCACAACACAAAAACTCTAAATTAAGTTGTTGCTAGAACTTTAAAGAGTAGCTGAGAAAAAATCGGTGGATTATCCTAACTAATGAGTCGTTTCACTTGAAAACAAGAATTACTATTTGTAAGTTTGAACTTTGCTAATGCAATCGATATCGAGATTATTATAATAATACCTTTACACGTTTCACAAACGAAAGTTTGATTAGAAAATAGGCAGAGCCTGTGCTGTGAGGGATTGCTGGTAAACACATTTATATATATCTATAACAAAATACGGATTCAAATCATGTCTAAAGTCTTGTTAAAGGTATACAAGTTTAAAGTATCTTCGTTTCTGAATCTGTATTGGAAACTATACTGTTTAAGAAGTAACTAGAAGAGGATGTTATTAGAATTATTTGTTATGTAAATTGTTATTTCACTCCTAAATTTAACTTATGTATATTCTTAGAATAATAGTATGTACAACTCCTATTGCTGAACCCCCACTCCAACCCATTACTGAGCTCAAGCTAAACGCTCAATGTTTGTTTTTCAAGCAACATGTTAATCTGAGATAATTTTTCCACTACTCTTAAACAGATCAACAAGCATGTTCTTTCAAATCCTTTGTTTTTAATGTATATGGGACAAAAGGGTAAATGTATCACCTGGCGGTAAGTGATAGACATCTACAACTCAAGACGTGTTACCAACGTTTGTGTGACCTCCTCACAGCAATTACTTAACACCGGTTTTCTGTGAGGCCGTGATATCAATCAAGTCGAACCGACCCAATGTGCAGAAGCATGGATCTCGCAGTAAACGATTTTGTTTATCATTATCAACAGTCTTTAATAGTCCACTGCTGGACACAGGCCTCTCTTTATAAAGAAGGTTTGGCCTACTTTACCACGCTGGCCAGGCTGGTATAGGGTTTGTGTCATGTTTTCCTTTTCACTGCACTGCTATTGTCCTCCGTAGTTTGCTAGTAGAAATGGTTGCTAGTAGTCGGTTACACTCTGTATTCTTAATCCGTCACCACGCGGATGGTCCGTTATAACGCGGAACGATTTTGTTACGAATACTCAATTAGGTATATGGTGTGTTAACTACTTCTATTACTTACAGGTACAAAACCTAGCATCCATCATCATCATCGAATTCGTGTGGCTCCTTAACTTCGTCATTATTTATATCTTTCCATACATGAACGACATGTTCGGTATTTACGGCACTTTCTACTTCTTCGGAATCATGGGTTTAAGTAACTCTATTCTTTCATACTTTTTAGTGCCAGAAACTAAGGGACTTTCTAACATCCAGATCCAGGATTTACTAATACTAAGAAGGAAAAAATATTTGAAATAAATTTATTCTGTAAGTTCTGTAATAGTTTTAGTAATAAATTAATATTGTATTAATATATATTAAATAGAACGAGTAGGAAAAAAGTTCGATATCAAGAAAGGTGTATAACAGGGAGATCAGCTGTCACCTAAACTAGGAGGGAGCGGGAGGGACCCCAAGAGCAGCAACGCACCTATGAGTTTTGAGTTGCAGGTGTCTATGGGCGGATATAGTTGATTACCATCAGGTGACCCTGCTCATTTCTCCCTTATACCAAAAAAAAAAACTCTTTTCTGCTAATCTGGAACAAGTGTTTAGGAACCTGGACTGGTCAGAATATTGAATAAAAATAAATGGAGCGCCGTTCAACCACCGAAGATGATGATCTTATCATACAATCAAATAACCCGAATCACTTGCGAGTAATGCTGAAACAACTACTCGTAGTAGTGAAGAGGAATAAAGTGGGACTAACAATGATAGTACAAAAACCTAAATTGATGGCTAATTCCATCAAACAACCCATTATGATCAACAACAATATAATTGAGTATGTTTTTTTTTCGGTATAAAGGGGCAAACGAGGAGACGGGTCACCTGATGGTAAGCAACTACCGCCGCCCATGGACACCTGCAACCCAAAAGTCACAAGTGCGTTGCTGCCCTTGGAGTCCCTCCCGTTAGAGTCAGCGGGACGGGGGGCTTGGGCTCCCGTAACCTCACTCACTCAGTGAAAGGCAACGAAAGAATTGCTTAACACCGGTTTTCTGTGAGGAGATGGTATCACTCCGGTCGAGCCGGCCCATTCGTGCTGAAGCATGGCTCTCCCACGGTAAAATGTTGAAGATTAAACTCACCTTGGACAAATCATCTCACTTCCAAGGAAATTCAAAACAGGATAAATTCATCATAGGAAAGGTACTGGTAGTTAAAAGAAGTTACAAAAAACCCTACAATAATTGTGTGCATCCTATAATGACTTACGGCTGTGAGACATGGCCCGTAACTAAATAAAACATCAGTAGGCTTGACACATGTCAGAACAGCACAGAAAGGTGAATGTTGAACATAAGGAGAAAAGATAATATAAACTTAAAAGTCATAAGAATAAAAAACGAAAATAACTAACATAACCAACACAGTCAAGAAGTTGAAATGGCCATCAAATTAGAACAACGAAAGAAAAATGGGCAAAAGATGTTACAGAATAGCATCCTAGGGAAGGGAAAAAAGCAAGAGGTAGACCATTCCGAACTTCAAGGAGACAGCTGGCGTACACTGAAGGAGAAAATCCCACGCCCGTAAACTTTGAGAGAGTCTGGGAGAGGCCTATACTTTAAGCGAAAATAACCTTACTACTACTGATATCCTATAGATTATTAAGTAATTTATGTTCTAAAACTAGTATTAAGTTTGTTAAATAAAGGCTATTGAATTGAATAAAAAAAATTAAAATAACCTCACGCATGGCACACACGGCTGTCTGATCTAGGAGGAGCCTGTACTATCTTAAATGTTTCTAAATTCCTACATTTTTTTTATTTTTTATTTTATTTTAAAATGACAACTCCCGTATTAGGAATACATATATCCTGTGTCGCGGGGTACTTTACAAACATACATGAAATGGACACAAAGAACACCCAGACTCAAAACAACAATTTGTGGATCACACAAAGTTTCGTCCCATGTGGGGTTTGAACCCATAACACTCGGCGCAATGGCACACAAAGCGGCGTGGCGACCGCTTAAACCACTACGCCATCCGTGCAGTCACTTGTGCGCTTAATTTATATTAGTGTAATCAAAATTAAGTAACGCTTATATTATTATGTTAATTATCGTGTTCATCGCACAAATATCTTAGTAATAAAGGCCACTATTTATTGGTTTTGACATAATGAAAACGAGTGCGTAACTTCGACTGCCTCGGTAGTGCAGTGGTAGCGTATGCGACTGCTGTGTTGAGGTCTTGGGTTCGATTCCCGGGTTGGACCAAATGTTTTTATGATCCACAAATATTTGTCTCGGAGTTTAAAGTTTTACAGTCTATTTATCCATCCAAAGGTTGCCTGTAACAGATAGCTTTTTAGCGATTACATTACATGTTCATTAACTTGGAATACTATTGTATGTGTAATATCCTGAGTTGGTGTACAATAAAGATTATTCTATTCTATTCTCATATGTATGTATTTACAAGTATTCTATCGGTCAATCTAGCTTTCATAGTAGCTCTGCTTAGTTTAAAACTAGGCGGCGTTGTGTCAGATATCTGAAAATATTTTATAGTAGTTTCGTATGATGATGTCACATTTGATTTCTCATGTTAGTTCACAGCCTACTCTGGAACCGGTTACACTTATTGGTTCAATCACAGTGCCCCCAAATTCTCTGAAATCTTCGTGAACTTGAATCCAGAAAAGAACTGACTGCACGTAGAAGAAAGAATTGACGAAATCGTAGGTGGGAGTGAGACATTTATTTTACGACAGGACATAACCCCTTCTTCTGAATGTAATCTTTTTCGACCGATGAAAATGAATGATGCCAATGAGACTGCAGTTAGCCCAAAAAGGATCAGGACTTTCATCAACAGCTTTTAATAGTCCACTGCTGGACCTAGGCCTGTCCTTAGAAAGGAGGTTTTGGCCTATTATACCACGCTGGCCAGACGGGATGGTATAGGGTTTGTGTCAAGTTTTCCTTCTTTTTGCAGTGCTGGTGTTCTGCGTTGTTTTGCGCTTTTAGTCGGCTCTTACGACACCCACGGGATGAATTGGGGTAGTGACATTCCGTAGTCTTAATCCGTCACTACACGGACAATCATCAGGACCTTAACTAGCCCCAACAAATAAAATTTTTGAACAACAACCAAAAGAATGTATTTTATGGGCAAAAACACCGCTATTACCGCTACCGACACCTCTGTTGAAGTGAAAACTTCTTTAGGCGAGTTAGGCATTTTTTAAGATGGGAAAAACAATTAAACTCGCCTCACTGTTGCCGTTACCGACACCTCTGTTGAAGGGAATAGTTCTTTAGGCGCGTTGGCCATTTATTGAGATCGGAAAAACAATAGAACTCACAACACTGTTACCGTTACCGACACCTCTGTATATAAGTTTTCACATCTGTCGGCACTCCTGGAGTGTCACTGTTTTTATTTTCATTGTTTAGGGGGCCAAACCGGCAGACGGTTTAACTGATAGCAAGTGACTACCACCACCAACGAAGAAGTGCAACTCAAGAGTCATAAGTAACCACCCTTTCAGTCCCTCCCCCTACAATTTAAACATAAAAATAATCGAAAATGTTCCCTAGTCTTATGAACTTAGAGCTTAATTTGTATTGAGCATAAGTTCAATTTAAATTTTGGGTGTAGTTGATATCTAACCAAGTTTGGCTACGTGACAGAAACTGTTTGGTCCCTTATATTCACAGTATTGCACACATGTAATATCACACAGGGTTAATAAGCCTTCACTGTATTTTGCTGAATATATGCTATTGTCAAATCACAAGCCGTATTCCTTGTGCAAGGTGGTTATTAAGTTGCATTCTGTCCGAGATCCGCACAGTATTTCGAAATATTAGATTTTAAATATTTCCAATGTTGACGGTTATATTAAGAGGGCCATTATTTATTGGTATAAATAAAGATAAATATTTATTGTGAATTGTGGGAGGGAAAACTCACCCAGGTAGTTACTTACCACCATGTGACCCCTCCGCTCGTCAGCCCCCACCTCCCTATATGCCCTAAAAAAACTCACATACGCATTTTTAATGTTAGTAAGGTTTTGCATATCTACATCCCTCCATACTTAAATTATAAATGTGAAAATGAGTTGGTTTGTTACGCTTTCACACCTAAACCACTAAACCGATTTAAACAATTCTTACACCAATGGAAAGCTACATTATCAGCGAGTAACATAGGCTTCTTTTAACCGCAATACCCGTTATACACGCGGGCGTAGCCGCGGGAGAAAGCTAGCTATGAATAAAATAACTCTCAACAGTTTTTATAAATATTGTATTGCATTGATTTAATTCCTATTTTACAAGCAAAACTGAATTACATACTAAGTGTCAATCAATCAACAGCCTATCGCCATCCAAATCAATCAACGAAGGCCTTTTTTTTCGTATGAAAACCACTTCCGCCTCCAAATTCACACGCACGCCGCCACAGCACACCGCCTCTTCGGTCACAGCCCTCAGATGCAGCACAGCATCGACCGTCGAACGCCCCGCTCGAAAACAGAATTCGAATTCCGACAGATCGGAACCCACCTCATAGAGGTGGTGGACGATGCGGGCAGAGAGTACCCCCTCAAACAATTTACCCGCCTCATACAGCAACACGATGGACCTGTAGGCCGCGACCGAATCGGCAGGCCGTCCCGGCTTCCTTAACAAGACCAGATACCCGCTCTTTCAGCACTCAGGGAAACGTTCAGACGCCAAGCTAGCGTCAAACACCTCCCTGAGGCGGTCTGACATGTGGTGCTCATAGAAGGCCTCTACCAAGCGCCAACTATACTAGCCTTGGGTAGTCTGTATTCAACCGCTGCCAGTCACTTTAAGTCACTAGTTTTAGTCTTAGTTTTATTTCTAAGTCAGTCGTAATGTATTTGTCACTGACAGATTATAAATACCGTTGCATTATAATCTATGTCGCGAGATTAGAAACTGTCAAAAGATTATGAAACGGATCATTTTTTTACAATTGAACGCATTGTTTTAGATAGACTACAATCTATCGAAGTGAAACCGTCAAACTGTGATTTTTTTATTGATTGATCTTCTTTTTCTGAGATCTAAAATTAATGTAATTTATTGTTCGAAGAAATTTGCGTTGTATTCGATATAAAAAAAAAACACTCGTATAACTCACAGGTTAAGGTAGAAAACGGCTTGATGATTAATAAAGTGGTGGTAGACCCTTCTTAGCAACCACGAGACAGGTCACTTGACGTCTTAATCAAGATTCCCTGTCAGATCCAAAACTACAG